AGTCAAAATCATTACAAATAAATAAATTATTAATTACTTGAAAAATATTAATTACAAATGATAAATTTATGTCACAAATACTATTTTTTTTCTTATGACTAAAATTATAATTTGTAACAAATATATTTTGTGGCTATATGTGGTTTGTTACTAAAAAAAATCACAAGATGTAACAAAATTTTTTGTCATAGTTAGTCAACAATTGAATTTAAAAAAAAAAAATTAGTTACAACAATATTAGTCACTATAAATTATGTGAATATTTGTGACAAACAAAAAATCTGCCACAAATAAACAAATTCCATCATTAAAAAATTTGGTAACGGAAACACTTAAATATCACCAAAATAAATGGTTTTTTTTAACTAATAATTCACAATTTGTGAGACGTAAAAAAATTTATAATTTCTTATGGATAAAAGTCAGCATTATAAAATTAACATTTCTCAAAAAAAAAAAAGAATAAAATTTATTATTTTCCTAAAAGATTTAATACAATTTGATCAATTTCTTTAATTGTAAAATATCAATTTTAGTCCCCAATAATATTTTACATTTTAATCCTCAAATTTTAAATTCATTCAAAATAAGCCCCTAATGTCACATTTGTAATTACCCAATCGGTGTCAGAGTCGGTCAGCTGGTAGAATAGCATGGTAATTCCCTGAATTGGAACAATTGGTATAACGGAGGTAAAGCTAAAAGAAATCTCAATATAAGGGACGTCGAGGATGAAAGAAACAGGAAACTAGCTAAAGAGATCAAAATTTAATAATAAAAATACAGCTACAAATAATTGAAAAAGCATAAAAAACAAAAGCAGGGTACAGGTTCAAACTAGTGAACCTTTTATAAAAGTTGGAGGACTGGATTGTGAGAAAACAATTCCTTTTTGAGATCTAAATAAATGAATGTTAAGTTACGTATTAAAGTGCTCATTCTACAAAATTTGGAGGATGAGATCTGTTATTTTACTATTATAAAATTGTGCAGAGGGACTGGAAAGTGGAAACCCGACACAGACCTAGTGTCGACACTAAGAGCATGTCCCGCATCAGTAATTTCGTTTTTTGAATCAAAGTCCTACCTCTTTTCTCATATAGTTTCTTCAATTCATTTAGAGATCAGATTTAGCCAGATGATGGGCCATTGCATTTGCTTGACGGCTCATGAGGAAAATGAAAAAACATAACTTATGGACGCTAACTGTAGTATCTAGCCACAACTGTTAGATAAAAGCTCTTTTCAGACAAAATAAGGTAAAAATAAAATTTGATTCTCTATAAAAATCATTTAAGTGCTAAACTTTGATTATTTTTTAGTTTACACTTCTATCCATGGCTTCAAATCAAAATTCTTAAATTAACAAAAACCAACTTAGCCTAATTCTTATAGGTAGCACTAAACTTTGATAAACAATTACTGATGTCTCGTTATTTCCTTAGTCATAAGATCAAACTTATGCTTTATTAGACAATTCAGAGACTGCATTTGCTGATTTCTGAACCTCCAAAAATGTAAAAGAAAGCCATTTCTTTGACAAGCAACATAGTCCAATGGCCAATAGTATAGTAATTGAATACAATTGAATAATAGTTCAAATGTCCACTTAGAAGACAAACAAAATCAAAATAATTGAATCCTCTATAGTAAACACTCAGACCATTAGTATAGCCACTAAATAAGGAGCTCCAATAAGCATTTCATTTGAAGCTGGTCCATCATCACCTGAAAAATAAAATGAAACCATAATATGTCTCTTAAATTGGCAACTCCAACAATAACCAATTAGTGAAGTTTTAAAAACATTCTAAAAGATTACAACTGAAGTTGCGTGCCCCTAAATAGAAAGAACTAAAACTATCTATAGGTTCCACTGAGAAATTGAAAATCCTGAGCATTGAATTAATAAAACAGCTAAAAACATTATAATGTTAACACATTACAAGAAGCCTTCCAACAAGGTAGTTGGAATCTTCTAATCCCATTAATATACATTACAATATCAAAAAGAAGCTTTACTTGAATAGAGTGTATGCCCATTATGGCACTATAGAACAACAAACTTCAAAGAATCAACCAAAAAAGTATAAATACATACTGGCGATAAACATAATGGCATTCCAAACCTTAGAACCTAAGGATGCTGCACACGGTCATGGGCCAAGTTTACCATTAAAACATTGAGAAGGATATATCACAAAACATATAAAAGAGTTGGAGCAATCAATCAAGCATTGCTTCACAATCAAAGCCATCCTTAGTAATTAATTATCAGAACCACAAATGACAAAGAAAAAGGATTAAAGAATAGATGAACTTCATCCAGTATTCTAGTTTTACCTACACATTTCCACCATCACCAATATGTTCAACACTAATAACTGCAACCAAAACCATCTCAACGTTCAATGCATAAAGGCTTTGTCATATGTGTGTGTTTGAATGCAACAATGTCTTTAATCTTTATGCACGTACATGGAGATGGCCAAGGACAATTCAATAAGTGCTGTCACAATTGGATAGTTAGCCAAAGAACTTGTGCTTTAAGTGACAAGTTTCTGAAAATGGTTAATAGCCACCTAGCAACAAGAGAAATTAAGCAAAAAAGTAAAATACAGAACCCACTGACATATAATATAATAGGTTGACGAATCTGTGGCAGATATAATAGCATAGAAAAACTCAGCAGGTGAGAGGCATGGTTTGGGAATATACTTTGGCAAGCAACAAGGGTAAGTTCATCACAAAGACAAAGCATTTAAAACACAGTTACTGAAGTAGAACAAGAAAGGGATTAAAGAGTAAAGAGGCAAGGATGACAAGAGAATACCAGACTTTTGGAAGACAATTTCAATCTGTCTCAAAACTAAATAAACTTATATACTCTATAAAACCTAAAACCCTAACTAGACTCCTAATAGAAATCTTTATTGAACGATATAAACCCCGATAAATAGTAGGTAAATATTACTGACAATTTCATATTCCTTTATATTTAGAATTTTCTTCCTTATATACATCAGTTACTCCCCATCTTCTTCCAAATGCTCCATTAAAAAAAAAAAAAGCTTATAATAAAAACATATGAATTGCAATCTTTTTAGTATTTAGAATGAAAACATGTTTTACATCTCTAACTTATGCAAGCTCACAACCAAATTTATTAACTCCTTATTAAAACATAGAAATATATACTACCAAATATAAATTTAACAAAAAGTATGAATTGCACTCACCTCACCTCATATGGTAATAGATAGACCAAAATCAAATCACAATTTTCTTCAAGGGACGATGGGAAGAAGGCTGATTTTGAAACCCAAAATTCTTCAAAAACCGATAATAAAAAGCTAATGGGCATTTATGTTTTCATTTTAAATTATTAAATTTTAATTTAAAATCTGATTTTTTTAAAATTCATTTTATTCGATTTTTCTATTTAAATAATTAAAATTTTATCACAAATACTTTGATAAAAAAAAAAGTTATAAAGCGTTTTTTTTTCTCCTTGACCAATAGAAATGTTAACTTACCCATTTCAATTCTATTTAAACGCTATTAGATTATCTTCCAAACTTATCCTCTTAACTAATATATAAAGAACAAGTTGAACCCTAATTCTAACTACATTAACTAAGAAGAGGCTAACAAAGTTCAAGAGAGGATTAAGCAACAACAGGTATGCTAGACATATTCCGTCAATAAAATAAGCCATGTATTTATAGAAAAAATGATTTTAGGTCACCTGAATGACAAATCTTCCTTGTAGTCGACCTCTCCTTATAATTTTTTTTTTTTTCTAAAACCAACATTACTGTCTCCGGCGACGACTTATGCTCCCAAATAATGCTCCTTTTGTTCATCCCTTTTGGTTTTACTCTATGATTTTGAATCCAGAGAATTCGATGGTGATCGATCTATGGGTTTAGAATATTTTCTAGATTTAGGTTCAAGGGATTATAGAGGGATAGATCTTAAAATGGGATTTGGGGGATTTCATTTAAAGTGGTGACCAATGGGGCTGGCCGACTGGGTGAGGATTGCACAAATTCCGGAAAAGAGGAAGAGAGCAACCACTCAAGAACGCATTAGAGAGAGCAGTGGGTTAGAGAGGCAAATTTTCGGATGGTTTTTTGGTTGATTTTAAAAGGGGAATCAGTTAGGGCTGGGTGAGAAGGAGTAGAGGGAGAAGGCAAAGGCAATGTTTTATTTTTTTAAGGGGAGGGGGAGCTAGTTGCCGCTAGGAGAAGGAATATCGAAAACGAAAAAAAAAAGAAAAAAGTAGGATATCCGGCTACTTTTTCCTCCAAATTAATTTCCATAATCGACCAAAGTTTGCTCTACTGTTTTACTATTAGTTACTGTATATGAATAGTATATTAGATATTTTTTATATTTTTAAATTAATATTTATGTTATGATCTAATCATGAAGAAGAGTGTATTATTTTTTATTATAATTTTTCATGTAATATTTTTTTAATGTTATTTATGACAATATTTTTCATATTATGAAAATGGGAAATGTTAATGTTACATCAAATGAATGTGAAAAACAAGAGGATTGAACGCAAACAAGCACTGGAAAGTTCCTAATGGGGAAAGAATTTTGGTAATTATTTATATTATTTTTTATATATTCATTTGCTATTCTTTTATAATAATTTATTTATTTTTTCTATAGGAACAACTTTAAATTGTTGGTGTGGAAAATGCTAAAGAGATATCCTCAGCTCTTATTTCGCTCATAGAACATTTGAAGCAGGGGTTAGGACAACCCAAAGGAGGATATGCCCGAGGTCTTGGGATATGAGGACTTTCAAATCACTATATAGAACAAGAATTAATTAAAGCACCTAAAGAACAGGCAACAGAACGTGCTAATGATTTGGAGAAGAGGATTTCAAATTTAGATGAGACTATAAATGCAAGACAATTTGATTAACCAGTTACACAATTTGGTTGAAAATCTGCAGAATCAAGTTAACGAATACAAGAATGTAGGAAGCG